ACTTATACTCTCGTTTCGCCGAGAAAATTTGTAGTAGATTGTCCTCGATAAACTTGCTTGTCTATGTATTTTATTGTAACTTTGCATCTTTCTGGTTAGAAATAAAAGAATGCCTCTCTCTTAAGGCCAATGTCCACGATGCTAGAACTTGGGCCAAGTTCTAGCATCGTGGACATTGGCCTTAAGATTTGAATTAAATTTTTGTCCGATAAAACAGTTACCTTAAAGTTGCCCCGACGGCGCCCGATGCCTTTCCCAGGCCTGCTTTTTCACACTCGCGAAAGCACAAAGATCGTTCGCGCGATTTTACACTCCCGGTTGCAAGGTCCACGTAAAAATATTAAACGGCACTCCCGAACGCGACGCGACGCGACACGACGAATATCGCGTGATATTCGTCTCGACAAGTCGCCGTAGAAATCAACGCGACGATATGATTACGGTTCCCCGCAACGAGATACCCGTAGGAAGTGATCGCGCTACGAGGAGCGACGCGAAGACGCGCAAAGACACGCGAAACATCCGCCTCGCTCGACCGAACTGCGCCAAATAATTCAACACAATAGACCGTTTGCGACCGATGTGTTTATGGCGCTACGTCATTTCTCGGAACCGCCGGCCGGCGACCGAGTTGTTTACAACGCTACGTCGTTTTTTCGGAATCGACGCTCGGTGTACGGCGCTCGACGCAAAACAAACGCCGTACGCAGGATATTAGTTACGCGGCGTCAGTCGAACGAGAGTCGGTTAGTGGTCCGTGTCGCTCCGCATATCGTATTAGTTGCAGTCCACAATAAATAATTTAAGCCCAAGCCTTAAGGAATTGACCAGTCACGGTCAAGTATGAGTAGAATACGCGACTGTGATTGGTCAATTTCTTAAGGCTCAGGGTTCAATTCTCTATTGTAGACGGGCACTTAAGAAATTGACCAATCGCGGTCAAGTATGAGTAGAATGCGCGACTGTGATTAGTCAATTTCTTAAGGCTCGGCGTTTAATTCTCTATTGTATATGGCCACTTATTCTTTCTTGATACGCGTTCGTGACACGTACGGGAAGAAACCGCGATTGCTATTTGCGAATAACCAGTGTTCGATATCTTCGCGTGAGATCTGTGCATCGGCAGATCCAAGAAATCAAATTGCTGACTAAAGCCAACGGCACACGATACTATTTTTCCTACTGGATTGCTTACGAGAGCCAATCAGGACGCAGAGTTTTCGATCAGGTGACTCAAAGCTGAATCCTGGTTGGTTCTCGTAAGCAATCCAGTAGGAAAAATAGTATCGTGTGCCGTTGGCTTAACTTGAAGTTACTTTTTCATTGCGGTAATCACGGACGATAATTGTTTTTTTTAAATCGATGCTCGTAGTCGGGCACATCATGTATCGCGTTGAGTCTCTCGTTGCCTCGAGTATAATCTGTTGGCTGTTTCTAAGTTGCATCATTTATCCTTTAAGCGGGGAGCACACACTTTTGCATAAGTGCATAAGCAATTGCATAACGAATGTGATTGGTTCATTTCGTTGTTCATTTGCTTATAGACCAATCAAATTCGTTATGCATATGTTTATGCACTTCTGCAAAAGTGTGTGCTCCCCGCTTTAACATTTGGTGAAACGGAACGCACTCTACATATTGTACGTCTACGCAATGCGAACAGACCTGCAATCAAACGAGACACGCTCGCTGCATGATCTCGTCACCGCGAGATCGATGCCTGAAAGCTCGCCGCCCGATTGGCCCGCCGTTCGAAAATCGCAAGCGTTTCAAATCCAGTCAACGGACGGTTGTCGCTGCGCGGAGCGCGTCGGTCGGGCGCGAGAATCCGCTCCGCGTACCCGGCGATTTCGGCTCGCCGAGAGGGCGAGCCCCGCGTCCGCGGTGCGGTGAGTGAGTCGCGCGTTCGCAGGCTCGTTCGTGGGGCTCGAGCAGCCGCCGGGAGCAGCGGTGCCGGGAAATCTCGGGGGTGAGTCGTAGGTAAGAAGCAACTCGGAGTCGCGGCTCGGCCGCTTCGCGGCGGCTCGGTGGCTCCGGAGCGGGCTCGTCGCGCCTCAAAACGCCGAGAAGGAGTCAATCGCGGACGCCGAGCGACGCGTCGTTGCGATCTTCGCGATCCCAATCAACCGCCATTATCGGCTTCTCGCGCCGCAGCCGCCGTTTGCATTTTTCCGTCTTTTTTTTTATCGCGATCCGTCGGCCATCTTGTCGGGCCATCTTGCTTTCGAAGTTTCCAAACCGCCTCGGGTAGATTTGGCGCGCGCGAGCGCGGGTGTCGGTAGTCCCTGTGTTCCGATATTCGCTGCCAGTACTAAAAATGTGTAGTATACGTGACGTAAACTATAGATTTGCAGTACTGGCAGTGCATATCGGAACACAACCAGTGTCGAGTGCAGCGCGCGCGTTAATTGTCGCCCGATCGTCCCGCGTTTCGCGAGAGTGAACAGCCCGCGTACGGCATCGCGAATCCGCGGCGTCGCAGCGCTCCTTTGCACTCGCGTGAGCGAGCGAGAGAGGAGAACGAGGTAAAAAGGGAGGAAGAGCACTCGGGCGCCTCGGATTTGCGATGCCGAACGCAGCCAATTTCGTCCGTCGCGAGTGTCGAGTGTTTAGAGTCGCCGATGCGACTTGCGCGGTGTGAAATTGACGATACTGTGTGTGTAATATCGCGTACAGTGCGATATATATATATGTGAGTGCATTTGTTACAAAGTGTTGAGTGTGTGCGATCGGATACTTTGGGATTACGTCGCGGGAGCATCTCTTCGCGTCCGACGAGGGGCCGAACGACGGAGTCGAAGGATCGTGGCGACGCCGGATGCGTTATCGATCGGACGTCGCTCCGCCGCCGCTAGGTAAGTGACGTTTGCTGCATTACCGACAAGCGACTTTGTTAGCTACTGCGGATGGCGGCGTCACAACCTCGAGCCGCGATAGATGGCGCCGCCGTGACCTCTTCGCGTCGGTAACCGATTCATCTCGCGCGAATGTGTGCTCCCTTGCGTCTAGAAACATTCGGTTTTATATGAGCGCGTCGAAACGCTTGGACAGATTCGCCGACAACGTGCGATTGTACAATTTATCAACCTGCACAAATTTTTTAACCGCATTCGTTCGCTACAAAATAGAACGTTTCTAGGCGCAAAGGGCGCATCGTGGATTAGACTTTGGTCGGGTGTCGAGCGACGATGCGAACACATTTTTTAAATTATTAATAGGGATTAAAAGTACGCTGCCCGGAAAAATAAGTTGGTAAAAATATCGAAAACACGGTCGCTGCACTAAGTCCATTTTTATTGAACTGCGTCTGCGTAATTAAAAAAAAACGCGAAATAATAAATGCCTCGATGAATTATTTTTTAAATAATTACATATTGACATAAGTATATAAATTGCCTACGTCAGTGACGAGGCAGAATTTGCAGATTGCAAGTTGCACCAGACGAAACTTTCTTAAGG